AAAACCCCAACAACACTGCTGTGTCTGTCTTATTCTTGTGTGCTGCCAGTGGTTCACTACTGCCCTGTGTGTTAAAAACACACCTATAGACTCTCAACTAGAGCATCAGAGATTCTCACAGCATGTTGATTGGATAGAGGCACATCTGCATGTTCCAGCATACTGTGATATCAGTGATATTTAAGCGGTAGAACACAGAGGGAGTGTGTTATCGCGAAATAACATCACGGCTGTGATTTGGCGTTTAATTTGTTTTAATGTTCGCAGTTCCTTCCGCCAAATTATAGTTCCTTAACAAGCAGCTTGTTACTACAAACTCTGCTCACTCACTGCTGAGTCTGCTGGAAGCCTCGCCTTCTGAAGTACAGACTGAGCCATAAAACTGCCGCAATATCAAGTTCAGCTCAGTTTTGTCAGTTTTTGCCAGATCAATATTAATGTTGTTTTGTTCCAGCCAGTCTGTAAAGCATCTTACAGCCCATTTAGTTTGGCGAATGGTGTTGGGTTCATTTCTGGCTGATTCCAGGTTGTTTAGCTGTTCTTCTGTCACAGCTGCCGACTGAAAAGCTGCTCAGTGGTGATGACAGTTTGGGAATTTAGTGTCGTCTCATCTTCAGAGTCTGACCAAATCGGCTGTCGGTCAAATGTGATCTTAAAAGTGTCCATTTTCTGTTTGTGGCAAAGTAAGCGTCTCCTACAGCTGTCAAAGTCATCTGTGATTGTGTTTGTTATGGTGAAATAACAGCACGGTTAGAACGCTTCTCAACCAATCAGCTTGCGTGGCCGGAACTAACTGTTGTATAAAGGCCGATATCGCAATAACGTTTAACATGCGATAGTCTGTTCAGCTCTGCTAAGCATACGAGCGTCATCACAGCTCGGATGATGTAACAGGGATGTGAGTCAGGAGCAGGGTGGTGAATTATTATGCTTTCGTTACCGTTTCCTGCTGCGATTAGCACCGGCGCTGACCCGCGGTGGCCCCGGCGTGTTAACATTCACCGCCTCACCGCTCCTGCCCAGAGTCTGGCCATTAGCTGGCGACTGGTTAACACCTGCCCCCACGTTCCCCCTGGAGCGGCACCGGCCGGTTCCAGCTGGGTGGAGATACCATCTCTGTGGCAGCTTAACCAAATGCCCTGCTCGTGTGATGTTCTTGTAAATGGAATCTGTCTGCGGAGCTGACCGCGGCCTGCGGGACGATAATGTTACTGCAGGAAACAGAAGCCTCTCCTGGCGGCCGACAGAACGGATTCTGTTCAGTGTTATTGTGGTGAGGAATCAGAGACGCTGAAAATCAAAGCTGGATGTAGCATCCAGCCCTGCCTGGTTGATATCCAGCCCTGTTTTTAATACCCTCTGTTGTCAAATAGTACTTCCCAGATCTTGCATTAGTAATGGATTTATGCTCACAGAGTAATTGTATGCCTTCAAATATTTATATTGACAAGATGGAGATATTTATTGAGGCAAATGCAGGGAAACCACATGGCAGTGCCAGGAACACAAATGCACTGTCTTGGTTGCATCACTTCTTTTCTTAATGGAGCGTCCAGTTACCTCATATTATGGAATGTATGTTACAAATCAGAGTTTTATATATGTGAACATGGCAAGAGTTTCAAAACGTACCGTTCAGTCAATATGTACAATCTAAGCTGCATTTTGAATGCGTTATTTTTTGTGACGTCAGCAAAAACCAACACATTTACATATCGCTGCTTTTGGAGCAAAACCTCGTATCTCCAAAATGGTAAATTTACAGGAGAAGGAAGAAACATACTCTACTTTCAATGTAAGTCAATGGAACCAGACTTTTTTCCAAGGAATTTTGGGTTGTTTCTTTTGGTTTGTTCGCGGTTCCTTCAGCCAAATTATAGTTCCTTAACAAGCAGCTTGTTGCTACATCAGAAACGAGCTCCGCCCACTCGCTGCTCAGTCTGCTGTAAGCCTCGCCTTCTGAAGTGCAGACTGAGCCATAAAACTGCCGCAATATCAAGTTCAGCTCAGTTTTGTCGGTTTTTGCCAGATCAGTATTAATGTTGTTTTGTTCCAGCCAGTCTGTAAAGCATCTTACAGCCCATTTAGTTTGGCGAATGGTGTTGGGTTCATTTCTGGCTGATTCCAGATTGTTTAGCTGTTCTTCTGTCACAGCTGCCGACTGAAAAGCTGCTCAGTGGTGATGATAATAATAAGCCTGCAGCCCCTTAGCTGCACCCATTCATAAGCCATAAAGAATTTTCTAGCCTAGACTGCATTGTATACAAGACAGCCTCAGAAAAGAGGTAATTTATTTAAAAAATCAAGTTTTAAAGGCACAGAAACAGAAACAGCCTGTTTAATCCTAAGGAATAAATAGAGTTTATGAAGTGCTCATATACAAATGATTTAACGTTTTTGGTGCATAAAACCAGCCCAACATATTAAAGAGGAAAAAAATGGGGCTATATAATGGATAAGGGCTCTTTTAAGGGGAATTCCACCAATTTTTCAAAAGTTCTGCATAAATAAATGGTTGAGATGTAAACAATGTCATTCCGAGTGGTTTGGTGTGAAATGGCTGATTGTAGAGACTCGGATGTCTTCACAGTGGTGGTGATAGGAACCAGGGGTCGCCATGACTTTCAGTACTTGATTATAACTGTACTGAACTCCCATTGCACATCCTTTACATTACTCACCGGTTGTTTATGTACTGTCTTGTTGACACCTGGACCAAAAGGAGTTTCTTGTACATCTGGTACTTAGTACAAATAAAGATTCTGGTTCTAATAGTAAAATAGTGGAAAATCTGAAAAAAAAAGTTTTCATGGGAAAGGAAGTGTGAGGGAGCTTTTAGAGGGGCATGTCTGGTTCCCATCACCACCACTATAAACAGTTCTGACTCTGTTAACAACTTCAGACTGTAAGCTTCTCTAGAACGGAGCCACTCTGAATGACTTTGTTTTGCATTCAAGGAATTCCCCTGTAGGTTTTGAAGTGTGGCCTGTCTCAGACTAGAGAATGGTGTTTTGCTTTGTGTTGAGGAAGAGGAAAGACTTGTTACATAATCTTCTAGAACGAACTGCACCGTGTTGTCAGTTGAAACGTTGATGGTGGTTTAAGGTGTGTTGAAAACAGATAAGGTTGTTTGGAGGAGAGGATCGTTAGTTCATCAGGAGTTTCAGACAGTGCTTATGTCTGCTTAACTGAACTGCCCTACATTCAGCTGGCTACTTAACATGCAAACCCACTTAGTGTCTAACCAGCAAGTTCTGGCCCAGTCCCATTTCTCGTTTTTACCCCTACCCCTTGTTTTCGAGTGTCTCCTTGCCCCTTAGAACTGAGTTACAGGGTAGTGGTTGAGATCTTCCCTCTGAAATGGGACCCTCAAATAAAAAGAGCAGCACTTCATTAACAGCTACCAGCGCTGCTCTGTAGGCGACCCTGCCAGTCTGCAGTGACAGCAGAGGAGGGTAAAGTTCAGCTCCTCACTGCTGGGCTTTAGTTACATTTAGGGGGTCATATGACTTCAAAGAGGGGGGCAATTATTTATTATCACCCACCCCTAATTCTTCAGTGATATGAAGCTGAAGTCAGATATTCTCCAGATTCTCATTCGAATTTTCCCGTTTCACCTTAAATGGAGCAGCAGTTACATTCTGGCACTTCAGGCGTCAGAACTGCTGGACTATTTAAGGTGGAACAGGAAATTTATCTAGCTAGCTACCGAGACATTAGCATGCTATTAACACATTTCTATGCTTGTTATAAAGAAAAGGACCATACAACGTTGAATTGACATTAATCAAAGATAATTTAATGGTCATCATAATTTTTAAGAGAAAATTCTCACATTTGTGGGTTTCTTTGGTCGCTTGTGCTCCATCTTGCTGGTTTTTCTTTTTTTCTCATATCACTCAGTTTAGAGTCTCTACAAAACCTCTGTTTGGAGGGTCATTTACCTCTAACACTTCGCCCTACCCCTCTATCTCAAGAAGAATCAGGACACCCTACCCCTAGACGTGAACACCCAAAACGGAGGGCTAGGTAGTAGGGGCAAGGGGCGAAATGGGATTGGGCCTTTCTCTGGCCTCTTTATCAGAAACCCCTCTCTTGTAGCTCCACCTTGCTGGTGTTGGAGACTGTAGCCCATCTGTTGATGCACAGCTGTCCACTAGCCCTTCATCAGTGGTCAACTGCTGATAGTGATGTACTGGAGTGGAAATTGTAGGCTGAAACCGAAGCCAAAAATTAGGACACACTGGGTCAAAAAACTGACGACAAATGACAACAAATCACATAAAATACTTACTTAAATTATTCCAGTATGTAGGGTACAGTGAATGCCATGACATGCAACGTTCTCTGGTTTTCCAAAGCAATGAATTCCTTTGTTTGTATTTATTCTTTGAACATTTGCAGTCATTTATGAATGTTTGCATCATTTGATAAGCTGAGGGTGCAGATGGCGTCGGCATGCTTGTGGGGACTTTCTGCTTCTGTTGTTTTGCCGTATTCTGTGTATCGAGTCGTGTTTTCAGGTGCTGTCAAACCTGCAGTGGAGAAGTTCTTTGGTTTTGTGTTTCCGTAACTTTTGCACAATATATTAATATGTTAAATTCAGTAAATAAGCAGTAATTGTGCATTAAAATGTATTCTCTGTAGAGTGTCAAATAATTGTCATTAAAAAATCAATAAAACATCGTTCTTGGTTATTTTTGGGGTTTTTTCCACTCTTTTCACTGAAAAATTAAGTGTGTCACTAGTTTCTGACCACAGAGCTGCTTTTGGCCGGGTTATTTTTGGACCACTCTCAACCTCGCGCTCATATAATATCAGGTCAGCAGTGGCTCTGTGGTCAGAATCTGACCAGTGATGAATGGGGTAGTGGGAGGGGGCGTTGCACACTACACAATCTGAAGTGGAACTACGAGACAGATGTTTGTCAGAGTGGGTGAGCGTGAACAAATGTGTCTCTGTGGACGTCATTTAGACTCCTGTTTGTCTCCTCTTCTCAGTGTCCAGTGTGTCCAGTGGCAGAGCTGAAGGCATCCTGTGGGCAGCATGTCTTCTGAGACTACGTCCCCTGTGCGGGCAGCCCCGTCCACCACACCCCCTCTGTCCCCCAGCTCTCCGATATCGCCCAGCTCCCTGCGTCTGCCCCCCTGCCGCCATAGGGACCGCTCCCCCTCACCCATGAGGGGCTACTTGATCCCCAGCCCACTGCCCACCCGCCGCAACCGCACCTGCTCCGCGTGAGTATGCACACCTGCATTAGGGCTGACGACTGTATCTGCAGTCCTTCAACCTTTCGACTGTTATTATTACTCAACTAATCTACCTGTTATTCTTTCTGGTTCCATTAGTCGAACCTTGAATTCAGAATGGTTCACTCTGTGACTCATTTACTGCTCACTGCATATCATTTACTATATATTCAACTAAGAACAAACACAGAACAGCCAAAAACGGACTATTTAGTCAGTTAATTCACACTAATAATTAAATATCAAAATATTTTTTGTAGCCCTAGCAAAAAGTGTTTTTTGGCCCAATCCCATTTCACCCCGTGCCCCTACCATTTAGCCCTTAACTCTCTGTTTTCTGCGTTCACGTCTAGGGGTGGGGTAAAAAAATTACGATAATCATTGTATTATCTTACTTTAATGTAGTTTCAGTGTATTTTGGTCATTTTCTTCATAACAAGCATAAAAAAACGCTAATAGCATGCTAATGTCTCGGTAGCTAGCTAGCTAATTTTCCCGTTCCACCTTAAATAGTCCAGCAGTTCTGACACCTGAAGCACCTGATTGTAACTGCTGCTCCATTTAAGGTGGAACGGGAAAATGCGAACAAGAAGCTGGAGAATATCTGACTTCATATCACTAAAGAATTAGGGGGGATGATAATAAATAATTGCCCCCCTCTTTGAAGGCATATGGTTCCCTATATGTAACTAAAGCCCAGCAGTGAGGAGCTGAACTTTACCCTCTCTGCTGTCACTGCAGACTGGCAGGGTCACCTACAGAGCAGCGCTGGTAGCTGTTAATGAAGCAATGTTTGTTTTGTTTCGTTTTTTTTTTTTAAATTTGAGGTTTGTCCCATTTCGTAGGGCAAGATTTCAATCACTACCCTTTTTAACTCCATTCCAAGGGGTTAGGGTGACACTCGAAAACAAGGGGTATGGGTAAAAAGAAGAAATGGATTTTGTGAGGCAAAACAGTAGAAGTCTCCCACGATTATAGTAAATACCAGTGTTTCCGCTGTATATATCTTGCAGCCTGCTGCTTCAGAATTTTATGAAATGTCCTAAAGCAATTACATAACTCTGCAGAGGGCTTTTAATTTGAAACAGTGGTTACAGGAAGCGAATGAACATTGTGTGAACAATCAGAGTTGAGTTGAGCCAAGGTGCCCAAGGAAGATCAATATCTTGTTTGTTTACAACTTTACAGCGAGAAAATGTACAGAATTAAACAGGTAAGACTGACGGCCTGAGCCTGAAACCGCTGCTGAAACAAAATCGTAGAGGAAACACTGTATACAATAGGCAAGGCTAGTTTATTTATACAGCACATTTCATACACAAAGGCTTTACATGAAAAAAAAAGGAATATTAAAGGGAAAAATAAAGACAAAGTGCTTAAGAGAACATTAAGAAGGTCACAGTCACCTAAAGGTAATAAAACAGAATTAAAGCGAAGTTCACAGTACATAAAAGCAAAATAAAAACATAAACTGAATTTAAAGACAAAAAGGGCCTCATTCACCAGCCGTCCTTAAGAAGAAATTTCTTAAAACCCACTTAACCTGGGGGCTCCCGAGTGGCGCAACCGTCTAAGCGTTGGCCCTATCATCAGGAGATCGCGAGTTCGATCCCTGGTGATGCTACAGCCGTCCGTAGCCGGGAGTCCGAGAGAGCACAATTGGCCTCGCTCTCTCTGGGTGGGTAGGATGGCCCCTCCTTCTCCCCCCATCACTGAGCGCGATGCTAGTCAGCGCAGTTGTCTGTTAGCTGACGTAACAGATCTGGCGGTTGGCGCTTTCCTCCGAGCGCGTTCGGCTGTCCAGTGACGTTGCGTGAGCGGCAGCTCGAAAAGAAGCGGTGGTGCTTCACAGGTCTCGGAGGAAGCCTGTGTTTGCCTTCACCCTCCTAGCGTTGATAGCATCGTGTGATTGGGGGAGTCCTAACTAGCGGGTGGAGTTGGAGACGACTAAATTGGGGAGAAAATCGGGTAAAAATTAAAAAAAAAAAAATAACCACTTACCCGGTTTTCACAAAGATTCTGACATTCATCAGTGTTTTCTTATGTGGGATTTGTTCTTGGGTAAGAACAGAATCTACACACACTCAGGAGCACGAAGGTGAGAACGGTTCTGGCTTTAAGAACACGTCTTGAATCTGACGTAGACTTTTTCTTAGAGCCTTTCTCAAGAACACACTTAAGTGGTGAATGAGGCTCAAAGGACTTAAATGTTATTCAGAGACGTTTGGGCCACGTCTAAGATCCTCTGACAGTGTGTTCCAGTTGCAGCAGCGTAACAGCTGAATGCTGCTTCATCCTGTTTAGTTTGGACCTGTGACCCGTGACCTGTGACCTGAGTCCACGGATCTAACAGTGTTTTCACATATAGTTCGTTTTAAAAGAACCAAACTGAGTTCTGTTAAATGTGAACCTGGAAGGGAACCAACTGCAGATGACCTCAGTTCATTTTGTGTACACAGTGTAAGTGAACTATAAAGAGGACTCAGGTTTCTTTCTGGTCCTTTGAGATCTCAGACCACTTCTTGTTCAGACCACGAGCTCCATTAGAACTCAGACCCCTTTCACAGCACTCACGAGCACAGCGCTTGCAAAGTGGGCAGCGTTCTCTGATAAATCTGACCTTTAAGGTGGCGAGAGGAACCACCAGGCCCGCCTGCTGCTCTCCTATTGGCCGTGCTGAAACGATTGGCCGAAGTGCATCTCGCAAAATTGGAAAAATGCCCCTGCGGGTCTGCTGCGGTGGGCTCCGTTTTCAGCTATGCTCCTCACTGAGCTCCACCCGGCAAAACTCGGGTGGAGCTTCATTCATTCAGAGTTCAGTGTGAAAGCAGCTTAACCTTTTCAACTCATTGGGACCACCAGTGGCTCCAAAACGCACTTCGTCATATTCTTCATAACTTTCATATTTCATAAGCTACATTCAAAAGGTGGGGGTCGTATGAGAGCTGTGACTGTCTTCTTTCCAGTCAAATCGATGGGTGATGTAATCTTAAACCCTTATAATAAAAGAAGCTGAACTCACCAATTGTTTTTTCTACTGAAAGTCGACCCATTTTTCCACAAATCTGAGCTATAAACTATAAACAGATGGCGTCTCTTCAGTGATCTGCTCTGTAAACATTATTTTTATAAAATAATACAAAGAGCGTCTAACATTTTTGGCTTTCAGCAGTAAATTGTAAGCATACAGCAATATGTGTATGATCATAAAAACACATTTTCTGTTTATAAAAATAAATAAATAAAATAAAAATTTACATTTATGCAGTTACTGATTAATTTGCCTTACGATTTGGTCATGTAAATTCAGATGGAAAAACCGAAATATACCCTGGTCTATAAGAGGTTAAAATTGAGTTGCATGCCCAGCTCGAGCCTTTAACACGGTAAAATCACACGGGCTCTCGCATCTTATCGCTTTAATATGTCAGGGCTGCTGCCTTGTCGCAGATCACGGACAGACTTTGTCCTAAGTAGAACCTTATAAATGATCCTTGGTCTGTTTTTACCTGCTGAAGTGCTGAAGACCGTGGCTGTGTGTGCGCTGAGCCTCGAGGTCTTCACCGTAAAGCAAAGCTAAAGCGGACAGAGGCCGTTTTGTTTTCACAATGTACAAATCAATCTAACTACAAACGAACTGGAGAGGTGCTCTTAGTTCGGTTCGTTTTTGGGGCCGTTCAGAAGGACTGAGTTCGTTTGGCATGTTTACAGACGCTGAAACGGGCCAAGTGTGAAGACGCCCTAAGAGACCTGCTCACTTTATATTCTTTAAACTTATCAGAGATGGATTCTGATGTAGTTGTGTAATACAATCTGATGGTTTGATTGGGTGTACCTAGTTTTTAAGAGTAAGCACCTCACTGACAATGAAAATCCGCATCAGCATTTGCATAATAATCACTGTAACACATAATAATTGGTGAAAGCATAAAGAGATGTGGTTACAAATTTTTTCTTTTGCAAAACATCCACAGTGTGCTGGGAACACGATACAGCTTAGACTTCTACACTACATAGAACATACAATACCGATCCTTGCATTTGCAGCCCGTAGCGATATTAATACTGTGGGGATAATGGCTGCAATAAAAAATCATAGATCATATCGTCACTGTCCAAAAAAATCATCTCCATTTTTGTCGATTTTTATTTTTCTACATCATTTCAACAGACCAGCTGTCCTTTACGTTGTATGAAAAAATCGTGATGAATGGTCCCATAGAAACGCTCTAAAATCTCTTTACATTAACTTACATTGAAAGGTCGGAGTGTTTTTGTCTTCTCCTGTAAAGTTGCTGTTTTGGAGATACTTGTTTTTCTTTGGACAGTGATGAAATGTTGTGCAGCCCTTGTAAGAAAGCATGGAAACACAGCTCTTTATCATTGATTTTGTGAAAGCTGCTACATAGTTTTAAACTGGTTAAACTGGTTTCCACATCACTGGTCGTGTTAACACAGTTTTTTTGGTGACTTCATTTTGAGTTTCCTTTTAGATGAAACAAACACTCAACAGACTCTCAGTAACCTGTCAAAAACATACAAGGGTTAGGATTAGGGCCAGGGTGAGGGTTAGGATTAGGTTTTGGGTTGAGGTTAAGGTTAGGATTAGGATTAGGGCCAGGGTGAGGTTAGGATTAGGTTTTGGGTTGAGGTTAAGGTTAGGATTAGGATTAGGGCCAGGGTGAGGTTAGGATTAGGTTTTGGGTTGAGGTTAAGGTTAGGATTAGGATTAGGGCCAGGGTGAGGGTTAGGATTAGGTTTTGGGTTGAAGTTAAGGTTTGGTTTAGGATTAGGGCAGGGTGAGGGTTAGGATTAGGTTTTGGGTTGAGGTTAAGGTTAGGATTAGGATCAGGGCAGGGTGAGGGTTAGGATTAGGTTTTGGGTTGAGGTTAAGGTTAGGATTAGGATTAGGGCCAGGGCGAGGGTTAGGATTAGGTTTTGGGTTTAGGATCAGGGCAGGGTGAGGGTTAGGATTAGGTTTTGGGTTGAAGTTAAGGTTTGGTTTAGGATTAGGGCAGGGTGAGGGTTAGGATTAGGTTTTGGGTTGAAGTTAAGGTTAGGATTAGGATTAGGGCCAGGGCGAGGGTTAGGATTAGGTTTTGGGTTTAGGATCAGGGCAGGGTGAGGGTTAGGATTAGGTTTTGGGTTGAGGTTAAGGTTAGGATTAGGATCAGGGCAGGGTGAGGGTTAGGATTAGGTTTTGGGTTGAGGTTAAGGTTTGGTTTAGGATTCGGGCCAGGGCGAGGGTTAGGATTAGGTTTTGGGTTTAGGATCAGGGCAGGGTGAGGGTTAGGATTAGGTTTTGGGTTGAGGTTAAGGTTTGGTTTAGGTTTAGGGCAGGGTGAGGGTTAGGATTAGGGTTTGGGTTGAGGTTAAGGTTAGGATTAGGGCCAGGGTGAGGGTTAGGATTAGGTTTTGGGTTGAGGTTAAGGTTAAGGTTAGGATTAGGGCCAGGGTGAGGGTTAGGATTAGGTTTTGGGTTGAGGTTAAGGTTAAGGTTAGGATTAGGGCCAGGGTGAGGGTTAGGATTAGGTTTTGGGTTGAGGTTAAGGTTAGGGTTAGGATTAGGGCCAGTAGGTCTACTTAATGTAAGTAATGTATCAACAGAACATCTACAAGTTATTTACATCACTGTATTCAGATGCTTCACTACAGCTACTTCACTGATATGTTGTTGATGTGTTACTGATAATCCATTCAGAGTTTATCAATTATCTACAAAGACCACTCCAAATAAAGTGTTACCATTTTTTTTAGTTCTTCAGTTTCTTTACAAAACACAGTCCTGCAGAAAGCCAGAAGAGTAAAGTGCATGATGTGTGTTTTTGGTGTGTTTTATCCCTGCAGCTCTGCTCGAGCCTCGGAGGGACCCGTCTTTTCTGGGGTGTGCAAGTGCTTTTCACGATCTAAAGGGCACGGCTTCATCAAACCGTTGGACGGAGGCGCTGACATCTTCGTGCATATCTCAGAGTGAGTGAGCCGCAGCACATTTCACACTCAGTTTCCCAAGAATGTCTTTTAATATCTATTACGTTAACATTTACAAACCTCTTAGCTCTAGTTACAGTCAAAAATGACTTAACATTTACACAACATACATTAAAAGTGAAGAATGAAGAATTTTTTTCCCCCCTGCTTGTCTTTTTGGAGGTTTTAGCGCAGCAAATATTTGTCAAAGTGACTGAAAGATACATATGCAGTGTTGTGCAAAAAGTCAGAGACAACCTTTCATTTAATTTCCAGTCAAATCAGCCATTAAGTACAAGTTATTCATTTTTAAGGAGGTATTTCTGTGAAGAACCCACTTGCGTAAGGAAGGAGAAAGAAAAATAAATTTAAAAAAAGCAATTTCTAAAAACTCCATAGAATAATTAAAGAAGCTGCTGATGTTTCAGAGTAATGGGAAAATGCTAAACCAAGGGAGAGATTTATTTGAGAAACTGTCTCCTGAAAAGCATTGGAGCTGTAATAAAGGTAAAGAGTGGACACTGTAAATACAAAATTTTAAAATTGTAATTAGTTGTTGAGGCTTCTGTTTAATTTTCTGATGCTGAAAAATAAGTAACTTGTACTGAATGACTGGAAATTAACTGAATGACGGCTGGTCTCTCATTTTTGCCTTGTGCTGCAGCACCATACTCGCACTCTACCTTTAAGAATTTAAGGTACAGTGTAGTGCGGTGTGCACTGTGTGGAATTTTAGTGCAGCACTTCCAGATATCTGTGATGGAAGGAGCAACATCATGCAGTCGTCTTTTCTGGTGCACGGAGGCAAATATGCATAATTACTACCCTGGGTTGCACACACCCCCCCTCTACTATTAATTATGTCTTCCTCATGACAGCTGAATGCATCAGCTTTACTGGTTAATCACAGCAGTAAAATAACCTGCGTGGACACAAACCCTCTTCAGCGACAGTTAAAGAACTGAACAGTTGTGGAGGCTTTTGACATTAAAGCACTTTAGAGTGGAGCACAATCAGAACACCTGTGTGCGTGTGGGTATATATGCGCGTGAGTGTTTTTTGGTACAGTTTGCAGGCAGTAATGTTCTGAGAGTAAGGATAGGCATATATATATGTCTGTAATATATATATATATATATATATATATATATATATATATATATATATATATATTAGTGTGTGTTGTGCTGGTATGAGTGGATCAGACACAGCAGTGCTGCTGGAGATTTTAAACAGTGTGTCCACTCACTGTCCATTCTATTACACACTCCTACCTTGTCAGTCCACCTTGTAGATGACGACAGCTCATCTGCTGCTACACATTCTGACCACCTCCTTGTTTCTGTGCTCATTGTCCATTTTATCAGCTCCACTTACTATATAGGTGAACTTTGTAGTTCTACAGTTACAGACTGTAGTCCATCTGTTTCTCTGATACTTTGTTAGCCCCCTTTTACCCTGTTCTTCAGTGGTCAGGACCCCCATGGACCCTCACAGAGCAGGTATTATTTGGGTGGTGGATCATTCTCAGCACTGCAGTAACACTGACGTGGTGGTGTTAAGTATGCAGAGAAACAGATGGACTACAGTCTGTAACTGTAGAACTACAAAGTGCACCTATATAGTAAGTGGAGCTGATAAAATGGACAATGAGTGTAGAAACAAGGAGGTGGTCAGAATGTTATGTCTGATTGGTGTATAATGTATATGGTATATAATGATTCTGCAACCGTAGAATAAACATCCATGGTCTCATGTTGCGGTAGAGCCCCTCCCACCTAACCCCATCCTGTTGTCCTGCTGCAGCCTTTTGCAGCCTGTTGAGCTCTTATTATGTTACCAGTGTAACAAAACTCATTTCTACTTCACTAAATCACAGAATTATTATTATATTAAAATTATGGCAAGCTGTACATTCTCTATTGTTCTTCTGTTTAGTGTTCCAAATTGTTGGTGATTTATTAAAACCCAATCAAATCCAATCCATTTTTTTTGCCTGTTTTTTTTCTTATTGACTTCCAACCATATATATATATATATATATATATATTAGTTGCTGTCCAAAGAAAAATAAGTATCTCCAAAATAGTAACTTTACAGGAGAGCGCAAAAACACCCTTACCAATCAATGCAAGATAATATAAAGACATTTTATTTCAAGTGATTTTAGAGCATTTTTATTGGTCCATTCATCATGAAATTTTCACACAACTTAAAATACAGCTGTTGTGTTAAAATAATGTAGACAATAATGTAATGCGAATGTGAAATAATGTAAAAATTGACAAAAATGCAGGAACATGGTTTTCTTTAGACAGCGACTACGTGTATATATATATATATATTTATTTATTTATTTATTTTTTCACTGCTGTTGAAACAAAACCTTGCGTTTATATTTTTGCCATTTTGTACTTTTTTACAGAATTTGAAAATGCCAGCTGACGTTTATTGTGCCAGAATTTCATGATGAACCAACAGAAATGCTCCAAAATGCTTGGAAAAAAACCTATTCATTTTCACTTTCATTCACAGTTAAGAATACTTTTTCCTTCTGCTGTCAAGTTTCCATTTTGGAGGGACAAGGTGTCGTTCCAACAGCTGCTATCCATCCATCCATCCATCCATCACTACAGCACACCTTTTATTTTTTCAATTTATTTTAATGAGGTATTGATTAGCTAAAAGAGATATTGGATGATGATGATGATAAACAAAACTGGGCTTCCTCGAGGAGAGCTTTGAAAATGATTGAACAAACATACATAAGATCACTACTCATTGTTTAAATTATATTTCTGTGTATAAATAAATGATTACTTCCTAATTAAATAGCTTTTCATATAAAATTTTGACCAGTACTGGATGTTGTTACTTATAGATACCTACATATATATTACACATGGGTCATACACATGAACTCGCACTCTGACAAGGTACGATAACAGACGTGTGTGTGAGTCACTCTCTCCACTGGAGTGCTTTAGTGTGAGTGGGCAGTGAGCGGTGATAGCAGTGAGAGGTTTTCGGTATGTATGTGTGTGTTGATGTTTTCCGTGTAAGGGCTGGTTAATGCTGTGGGTTGTCATGTTGAAGTGGCAGCCGTGTCCACAGTCAGGGGAGAGACGCGTTAACATGCCTTTGATTGATGGACGTTTTTGGGAGTCATAGTTTTCTCTCATGTAGGCGATGTGTAGGACTGCACAATATAACTGTTAATCATTGCAGCGATATTGACCTTTGCAGTACTGATATCACAGCACGCTGCAATATGCAAACAAGAGATGTTTTTCACTGTGTTCTGTGCAAAAGTCGCACGTTCCATTGGATTTTCTGTGGGTGTTTTGGTGCATCAAGGCATTCATATGATGAAAAATAATGCAGGCTGATCGTTAATCATCTGGCATCAATGTAGTTTTTGCATACTGCAAAGCATATCGCTGCGGAAGAAAAGCAGGTATCACCAAAATGGTAACTTTACAGGAGAAGGAAAAAACATACTCTACTTTTGATGTAAGTCAATGGAACCAGAATTTTTTCCAAGTCATTTTGGGTCATTTATTTTAGTCCATTCATCATGAAATTTACACACAATGTAAAGATCATCAGGAAATGTCAAATTATGTCAAAAACTAAAAAACAACAAAAATGGAGATACAAGGTTTTCTTCCGACAGCAGCGATATTGAAATTGCAGTATTTAAATATCTGATCAGGACATTGTACAGCCCTGTGCAAAAGTCAGACCACCCTCCATTTATTTATTCATTTCCAGTCAAAACTGCCACACAAATTATTAGTTGTTGCAGCCTCAATAAGTAAATCTAATCTCAGCTGTGTGAGTCAGTGAGTCACTCTTCACCTTTATTAAAGCTTCCGTTCTTTTCAGGAGACTCACTTTCAGTTCCTCAAAGAATCTGCAGACACACCTCCAAAGTTCAGTCTTAGAAGCTGGTTGATCATTTTCTGAAGTATCAAACACATTCAGTGGTGTTGAGGTCTGGACTCTGGGGTGGTCAGTCCATCGTTCAGCTTCTTTGTTTGATGTGTCCGTCTCCTTTTCTCAGTGAGGTTCTTCTTGATCAGCTACACATCCTTTCAGACCCACAGCGCTGAGTCGTCTTCTCACAGTGGAAGGATGGACAGAAACACCTGTGGATGTTTTCAGATCTGAAGCAGCTTGATTTTCTCCTCTCTCTCAGAGATGAAAGCTTTAAGTGCTGTTTATCTGATGGGGGCAGTTTTGGGGTCGACCAGCTCTTCCAGGTGGCTGTTAGGAGCCTCATTTTCTTTTTAGCTTTTAACCATTTTAACTATTATTCCTTTGATTTTCCCCTTTTGGCTCATTAAAATACAGAGTCTCTGACCTTTGCACAGTATTTGTAGAGTAACTGCATAAACTACATATTACCAGGTAGCTGAGCTCAGCCAATCCGGAATTTATTTTTACTGTTTGTTTTTTCCAACTTGTTCACAAATCTCAGAAAAATAAAGAATCGTAATACATAATGTGTATCATGAAAATGCCTTTTTAGTATTGCAGCGTTAAATGCCACATTGTCCACCCCTAAAGGCCGACTGTCTCCTGTCACGGCTGTGTTTGCTGACCTTTGCACTGGTGGGTTGTGAAAGCTGGGAACAGTGATAAACTCCCCGAACCCCCTCCTCTGTACTTGCTAACGTCAGCAATGTGCTATTCAGACTGCACTGCAGAGCTGCGGGCTGCTTTCAGGCGTCACTGCATTGTCTGCATGTACAGGAAATGGAATGGAGTCATGTGGCAGAATCCCATTGAAACCGCGGTGTCCTTTACGTCTTAGAAGGGCTCTCGGCCTTGAGGACAGCTGAAAGGCCCCAGTGAGAACCGTCCTTTTTCTAACGTTTCCTGTTCCTTGTTTTGCTTCGCTGCGTGGGTGTACGAGAAGAGAAACAGTTTCCACTCCATTTCAGAGGAATAACCACTTATCTCCTGACTTTAGGAAGCTAAGACCACACAAGAGGCCATTTTTCCCCAAGAACTTCTTCAGATTTCTTTCTAAAACGGGTTTTGAAACTAATCAATTACCTGCTGTATATGTTTGAGGAAAGGACTACTTGAATTTACATTTATTGGACATAAGAAATCCCCTTTAAGTTCCCCCTCTGCCTCTGAACTTTTGCTTAGGTTAGGTCTAAACCTCATTTCCTCATTGGATGAATTCACTGCTTTGATTAAACACAAAATCTGTTAAATTCCCAAGTTTGCGTACCCGAAATGGCCTTAATGTAAACGGCCTTTATGTTGTTCCATCTGAATTTAGTTTTCCGTTTTTTTTAGGGAGTCCTGGTCTCAACTCCTCCGTTAAAATCTCTCATAATCCATAATAGAGGTCTGCGCAAGATCATTTGTCCCGCTTCCATCCGCTCAGCTCCATCAAGGCAAACTGACATCCAGTATCTGACACAGTCTATTCACAAATACATTATTCTCTGCTGAAAAACACGGCAGTCGTGGTCATCAGGCTCACCGTGAGTAACTTCACCAAACGCCATTTATTCCCACTAAACACAAAGCAGGAATTAAACCACAGAGCGGTTATTTTTGGTGCTTTGCTGGGCAGCTGTGGTCGTCAGACCGAAGGCTCCGCCGTCTCTGTGAGCTACGAGAATTACGTGTTGTTCACGTGATCAGCTGCTTTGTAGCTCTTTAGAATGACTTCATTCATTTTAACTTTTACTCTTATTTAATATTGTTTATAAATATGATTTAGTGATTGTTCAACTTTATTTAGACTGTTTATTAAGTTGCGGGTTTTTCTTCACTTCACCTATATAATATAAAATGGACAATGAGCGTAGAAACAAGGGGGTGGTCATAATGTTATGCCTGATCGGTGTGTATACAATAAACGTTTCTGTAATTCTGGCCACCAAGTCTTCATTTTAGCCACAAGACTCATTGGATTTGAGGCCAGTGCAGATTTTTATATCCGTCTACCTGACACTGTCACATTCTCTCTCTCTTTTTTTTGACCTTGTTCCATTGTGTTCCTCTTGCAGCATCGAGGGAGAGTATGTTCCAGTAGAAGGTGATGAGGTCAGCTACAAGATCTGCTCCATCCCACCAAAACATGAAAAGATCCAGGCGGTGGAAGTGACCATAACTCATCTGGCTCCGGGCACCAAGCACGAGACCTGGTCAGGGACGGTGGTCGACTCCTGAAAAATGACGGTGCTCTGAACTGCCGGTTTGAGAGTGATGGTTGTGTTCTGGAATTGGGGGGGGGGGCGGTTAGATTGTCCTCTGTTGGGGGTGGCGGGGGGGTGGTGGTTAGAAGAGGGCTAAATGGTAACTATGAGCTGACAGCAGGTGGCGTCCGAAGAAAAATATTGAAGATAATGCTTGCCTTTATTGTTCTCTCTTCTGTGAACTTGTTTCCAATGATGAAACTTTTTGTTTTATGTGCTGTGAGAAATCATTGCTGCCGGCTATACACTAACAGTTAGTGGCTCAGTATCATAAAGGATTATTAGCTGTTTTTGTGGGTGGATACGCTGCAAGAAACAGACTGTATGCTCTTAACAATAAAGCCTTAACTCATCTACTGCAGTTTGTGGCCTACATAGATCTCAGAAATGGTTTATTTTTATGTGATGGGGTGAAAAAAAAAACTAAAGACTTCTTCCTAATATGAGCTTGCTGTAAAAAACAATGTGCCAATATATCTTCTTGATTATGTGTCATGCATCGGAGTGATTTGTGAACGTTTCCTGCTTTTCACAGGGTTCAGTGCTGTACATCATCCTCAGTGGATGGATCACTGGGTTGGAATATTAGTGGAGTGATCGGACCTTTCCTTCAAACATGTAATGCTGACTGACCCCCAGTAGCTTTTGTTCAGTGCGGTGAGGTCAGTCTGTTTATCTGGGCAGTAAATGTGTTGTTGCTTGTAAACACTCAGTAGAACATTAGAATAACTAGAAATAAATGCAGTAAAATTTAAGGTTAAATTTTAGTGATTTTCTTAGTTTAGCAGTTCGGTTTGTTCTCGATTCAGCTCTGAATTCAATTCTACTATCAGCACTTCATTTAACCACAATTAAAAAAAAAGTCTGCATAATTAAATTAAGATGTAAAGTTATTAAGAGTGGTTTGATGTGAAATGTTTCCTTATAGAGAAACTTACGAACTCTTCACGTAGTGGTGATGGGAACCAGATGTGTAATGTCTGAGACACTGGTTTGGAGAAAGTTCATTCATGGTTGCAGGGTACATGCAGGGTGTTGTGAGGCAAAATAGCCCCCAAAAAATTTACTTTTTTTCAGATTTATGACTATTTTACCATCAATATTTCACGCAAAAGCTTAGACGACACATGTAGGTTCACTGGTGGTTCTAGATAGTAAGTAAAATGGCTATATTTGTGCTGTAGACATTGTAACCCCTGGTTCCCATCACCACCACTGTAAAAACATACAAATCAATAAGTTTCTCTACAATGAACCACATCATGAATTGCTCTCTTTGACTGATTTGTGCAGAGATTTTGAAAAATTGGTGGACTTCCTCTTTAAACATGTATGATGATAAAGTATTGATCAGTAGAAGCACATATTGGATGTTAACTGTACTGGGCTTCCTCAGTTGTACTGTATTCTAATAACATATGTATTTATTCTAATGTTTGATGAGTTTTCTGACCAAATAAACACGTACTGCCCAGATAATTTCACATATTTAAATTAGACTTTTTGCTGATTGCTGCATTTAATTAAACCGGAGTCAAAGAAAAAAACTAGATCAAAATGTCAGATTTATTTATTTAGAGTACATATATATTGTCAATATTTAAGACTAGGGAATAATTACATTTTTAAACATTTCACATAGTGGTGTAAACAAACAGCGATGATCTGAATTGTTATCTGTTAACAGGTAAATCAGTGATACACAAACTCTCTATACAATACTGACTTGGCCAAAAAACAGACAGGCACAGAGTCGTCACATGGGATTTCTTTAGCTCTAAATGAGCAGCTTTATGCGTCTGCTGCTGCTGTAGACGCCACCTGTCCACCACGGCTTTAAAAAAACATTTACGAAGCATTCAAAGCAACATGAACTACTTTACGCTGATAAATGGGACGTGGCACAGCAAGAGCGATGCAGCATTTCCTCTAGAAAAAAAAGTGTTTCTATTTTTTTGTTCAAGCAGTGCTGAAGAAAACGAGTCTAACTACAGGTTTTTGTACATATTTATAATTCAGGAGGAGTGAAAAAGGGATGGGGAGGGAATGATGCAGACAGACTCTGTCTTGTGTGTCGACAGCGCTCTTTCTCTTTTGTGTGCGGTTTTATTTAGAAAACGAGTGAATGGCGCGAAATACAAGAACTCTACAGTTCAAGCCAAAGCTTTCGTGTTCTGAGCAGTTTGGGTTTGGAGAAGCAGGAGAATCACCCCAAGCAGTTCGTACGCAAACATCTCTCGGTACTGAAACGAGCAGACGGGGGACAGAGGCTGCAGGGGGTCATGTTCACCTGAGAAGTGACCGACTGTACGGGTTCGTGGCTGAAGATTAAGCTTAGTTTAAGGAACACTCCAGCATTTTTCAACCTAAACAACTGACCAGTGGCTTCCAGCCTCGTGGGGCCAGATGTGATGTAGCTAGAACGTTTGGGGACAACCATTCTAACGCCTTGTGAAGGTGGAGCTCAAAGTGGGGGGGGGGTCATGTCATCATTCTATAATCTGCCTCATGCTCATATTAGGAACCCCACATCTAAGCTGGTTTTCTCCATGGGAGGGTTGAATGATGTTTTAGAAAAATAAAATTAGAACATTTTAGTTTAATTAAAGCTGGTACGGACATTCTTCCTCTGAATGTTGCTGGGTCCTCCGAATTATGAGGTCATTAATAAGCCAAACTATGAATATTGCTACTTCCAAGCTAGCACTGCTGCACACTCAACTGACATTATAAGAGTAACCTTACCAAAGTACACAAATCAGCATTGCTTTGCCAAAGGTGATCGGATAGGGAGGATCTGGCAGTTTTAGCCTGCAGTCTGAATAGCAGGTGTTGGCTTATAACAGTGTTGAAGTTTAATAATAGACTTACTTTCATATGACTGTTCAGTGTGAAGCAGTGAGTGTGTTTACATGCCCTTAATAAGATAATGGAAACTCCAGGTCTACATGAGTCAGGCAGTAATCAGATTTCTATTTTGCAACCAGCCAATAAACTCAGAGAAGTTGTGATGTAAACAATGTAAAACTCAAACTACACAATGCAGGTTTTTTTTAAAAAAACATCGCACCACTTTACCTGCAAATATGAACATACATCATCTAGAAGATGAAGAATATTTAAATCCTTCATTTTGTCAAGCATGTATTTGGTTTCAGTGTTGCTCCAAAAGTGTTTTGCTGCATCTCACGGCAACGTTGCTCGCTTATTTCCAGTACCGCTGACTGTTTTTCGCTGAGAAATTGGAAAGAAATCAGAGTAAGAGTTTACATGCACTGAGAAATCTGATGACTGAGCTAAAATCCAGCCTCTTTATCAGATTTCTTCATCAGATTTCTAGACTTTACTCCGATCTAAGAAATCAGTGTGCTGTTTACATGACCATTTGAATAATCAGATAAATGCAGAGTATCGAGTGCATGTAAACGCACTCAATGTTAGCCTGCTTGTAGCGTTATTCATATTTTGACTGCTACACAACCTTGTAATTCAGAGAATCCAGTGACAATGGAAATATGGAAATGTACACACACTAAATGTATCAAGTTTGGAGCTTGTTTGTTTATCACAGGACAGTGATTTTCAAAAACACTGTCCATTTCTGTCCTAGAGAAAACCAGCTTAGACCCGGAGTTCCTAATATGGGTGGTACCCTGAGAGCAAAGATCTGTGGTGTACTTGTCAACTTAAGATGAGTAATGAGCCTCTCGTTAGCTCATGGATGTAACGCAGGTTAGCATGGATGAAAAAACCCCCAAAAAACTCAAACTGAGCATTCAGATGTGAGTCGCGTGTGTGAACACATTACATGCAGTAAAAATAAACATCAATATTGATCCGCTGGCGAGCTCGTTATGCCTGTGATTGGACTCCGGACGTCAAAAGAGCATCATTTGGGGGCGAACTTCTGTTCAGGCAAACAGATCCAGATCATATTCTGTGCTAACTGACTGTACACTACATATCGCTGTTGTCAGGACAAAACCTCGTATCTCCAAAATGGTAACTTTACAGGAGAAGGCAAAAACATACCTTACTTTTAATGTAAGTCAATGAAACCAGACTTTTTCCCCAAGTCATTTTGGGCCGTTTCTTTTAGTCCATTCACCCTGAAACTTACAGACAATGTAAAGAGCAACAGGTATTTTCAAATTTGTCAAAAACGACAAAAATGAGATACGAGGTTTTCTTCCGACAACAGCAACATACTGCAAATTGTGAGTAGGTTGAAAAACGCTGGACTCTCCATTTAATATGGATTCTCCACTGAAAAGTCCTCTCGAGCTTGAAACCTGGCGGCGGCCGTGTTCTGGAAGAGCAGCCCTTTGTGCTTTCACAGGAAACGTAAGCCTTCATATGTGCTGTGGGTGTGGATGTGGGGTTAGTGCCAGTATTGCAGCGCTGCTGCCTGCTGTGGTTCCCACTGAATTCCTGTACATGTTGACGGGAATCTGTAATTTGACACAGGTGTTTTTAAGTGCTCTGTGCTTAGAGAACAGGCGTTTTCATATCTAACAGCACTCTCGAACTCAGTTCAGAGGTCTCTGAGTCTGAGTAGGGACTTGCTTTATTTTGCTAAAAGAAAAGACCACAGCGAAGCCTGGCAGGCAGCCAGCTTTAATAAAGAGGTTCAGTAGCTGCCAGTTGATTTTCCTCTGACAGACACAGGTCGAAGAACAATACTCAATAAATGATCTGAGTCACTGTTTCCAAATCCTGTTACTGGAGTGTTGGAGTCAGTGAGCTCTAAGGTGGGCGCTTTGCAATAGCTAGATTTTCTTTCTTAGCCAGATAACTAAGTGGAAGTTTACTGACATTTCTGCATAATTGAGTGTGTGAGATGTAATCAGAGTGACTCAGAGAGGTTTGGTGTGAAATGGTTCAGATCTCTTTACAGTGGTGGTGATAGGAACCAGGGGTCGCCATGACTACAACACAAATATAGACATTTTATTTACTATCCAAAACCACCAGCGAACCTACACGAGTCTTCTGAGTGTTTATATGTAATGTTGATGATGGGAAATAGTGATCAATCTGGGGAAAAAAGTTTTCCTTACAGACAAAATTTTATGAACAATACATGGTTATGTAATAACTTTCTGCAAGGGACGTCTGGTTCCACTCGTCACCACTGTGTACAACTGCAGAGTTTCTCTAGAGCCTTTCATATCAAAGCACTCTAAATGACAACACAATAATTATGCAAATATTTTGAAAATTTGGTAGAATTCCCCTTTAAAGGGTCCTACATTTTCTTGCATTTGATTTTTTCCACTAAGGTCCATATCGGTCCATGTCGGAAGAAAATCTTGTCCATTTTTTCAGTTTTTTTATCATAATTTGAAAATGCCTGTTACTTTTTACATTGTGTGTAAATTTTATGATGAAGGGACCAAAAGAAACGGAACAAAATGACTTGGAAAAAAATTCTGGTTCCATTGACTTACATTAAAAGTGAAGTATGTTTTTTCCTTCTCCTGTAAAGTTACCATTTTGGAGACACAAGGTTTTCTTCAAAACCTTGTGCCAAAAGTGAGGATTGTGCATCAAGTTATCTGGCTCTGAGAGAAATCCTGCTTTTTGAAATACCCCCCTCAGCTGAGCTCCATCACCAGGATTTGGAAATGTTCTGTGCGACCCATTCTGATTCCTCCCTGCCGTTCTATACACCTCAATCAGTTTAAGAAAAGCACCTTTCCTACAGGCTTCCTCCTCTGCATGCCTTCACTGGAGCATCAGACTATCAGAACCTCCCTGGAGTTTTAGAAGAAATGATGGGTCCTAGCTAAATCTCCCCCTCCTTGCTGTGAGGTAGGAGAGCTTTTACAAGTCGAGCTTTTCTGAGGTCTCAGGTAGTGAGTGTACTCATCTGCTCAGGTTTGACTGTGAACTCGAGCTCGGACGGCCTTTGTATTCTGAGGAAGCTGTCAGGGGACAGCTAGCAGCAACATCAGGTTTGAGAACCTTCTCTAAGCAGCCCCGCTGTGCTGGGGGAGGGAGGGAGGGAGGGGGTACTGGGTGGACAAGGTGTGGAAAGTTCGTCTGACGCTGAAAACCTGCTGCAGTCGTCTTACTGACGCAACACGCAGCGATCAGAAGATCCACACGATTGAGGGATTCACACACAGCCGGGATACTGCGGTTTCATTGTGCGCTTTACAGTGACTGCAGAGAGAAAATGCTACTGTAATTTGTGAAATCGGAGAAAAAAACAAACTAAAACGTAAGGCAGAAAGTTAGAAAGGAAAGACGACGCAGAAGAAAGAGTGACGGACTGCTCTGTGATGTGTTGAGAAAGAAGACTCCCTCGTCTGGACCTGGACCCTTGTGCTTGTTCTGTGGCAGGAGCTGGCTGCGACTCCAGGACTCTACTTGTATTCAGCCAGCACATCGTTGAAGATGTTGAGGAACTGGTGAGCGTGGTACTCTTTAAAGACCAGAGCAGGACGGAAACGGATGGACTTTTCTCCACAGCCGCCCAGGAGAACACCTGAGAACACAGCCAACAGTTAGCACATCCAGCTATACCGCACACCTGCAGCTGGATTCAGTTTAGTAGCGGAGGTCCATAGGGCGGGGCAGTGTGACAATATGTACAGTTATTTTGATTAATTATGTCACAGTACAATACAATATGCCTTTCTAAACATATTGTGTATATCAGGGGTGCACAACTCCGGTCCTGGAGGGCCAGTGTCCTGCACACTTTGGTGATTTTACCTGCTCCAACACACCTGATTACACTCATCTGCTTACTGCCAGGTTTAGTGGGTGTGTTTGACCAGGGAAACCTCCAAACTGTGCTGGAAAACTCCAGGACCAGGACCAGGACCAGGACCAACGACACACAACTCCGTGCACCACGTGCATCACGGACCAGCTGCACGTTTCATTAACTGGATTTAGAGCATCCAACAATGCTGGATTAAAATCACTCCACAATTATTACTGTAAAACTACACACACTGCAGATTCATACTGGATTAAAATCACTCCACAATTATTACTGTAAAACTACACACACTGCAGATTCATACTGGATTAAAATCACTCCACAATTATTACTGTCAGACTGTAAAAACTACACACACTGCAGATTCACACTGGATTAAAATCGCTCCACAATTATTACCGTCAGACTGTAAAACTACACACTGCAGGTCATTACTGGTCAGGGTGTTTCTGCTTACCCTTGTCCCTGGTTTTGAGTAGGAGGCTGTCACGGGTCACATCATCACGGGCATCGATGGCACAGAAGGTGCCCTGGCCTCGGGCCCGACTCAGGAGGTGAGGGTACTGAGCCTGAAATGGATAAAGAGAAGACAGAATGCAGAGCTCAGAACCTACAGAACCGCTGCAGTCAACGTCCCAAACTCCTCACTGCTGGGCCGCAATACATTAAAGTGAAAGTCGGTTCCCACCTCAAATAGAAGCTTTCATTGCACTGCAGATGCGTTATTAAAACATTATTACACTTTTTGAGCAGTAATGATCAGGAACTGAAACAAACTTCTCTCAACAGAAATCATGACTTATCTGTAGCATTCATATGCTTGCATGATATGCATGCACATCAAGGGGCGTCAGAGTTCAGCACATCACCTGTTGTCTAAAGCGGCAACATGCAGCGTTCAGCTACACAGTGAAGGTTTGTTCATGTTTATACCTCGCAGTAAGTCATTTTAAACCACATCTACAAGTCTGCACCACCCTAAAGGAGAATTCCACCAATTTTTCAAAATTTCTGAATTTCATTCAGAGTGATTTGGTGTGAAATGGTTCACTGTAGAGAAACTTACGGACTCAGATTTCTTTACAGTGGTGGTGATAGGAACCAGGGGTCGCCATGACTACAACTCAAATATAGACATTTTATTTACTATCCAAAACCACCAGTGAACCTACACGAGTCTTCTGAGCTGCCATATGCAATGTTGATGGTAAAATAGTCATAAAGCTGGAAGTACGTTTTCTTTGGGGATTATTTTGCCTCACAACATCCTGCATGTACCCCTCCACTCAAACTATCATAAAACAGTGTGAGGGAGCTTTTAGAGGTGGACGTCTGGTTCCTATCACCACCACTGTGAACAATTCTGACTCGGTAAGTTTCTCTTTAATGGAGCGTTTCACACCAAACCACTCTACATGACTTTGTTTACATCTTAACCATTTAATTATACAAAATTTTTGGTGGAGTTCCCCTTTAATAAAGATGTTGATGCGGGTTGAGAGAAGTTTTGGGGATGTATTTACAAAAAAAGATTTGGATGACTATTGACTTCTAGTGTAAGCATTGTCAGCATCAGAGCTCCAGTGCTAAACTAAAGAAGCAAAACTTGGAACATCAGAAATGTCCTGGTGGGTCTATTATATCTGGGTCAAGTGGACAATTGTGCACATCTGATTTTCTGCTAAACCATTCCTTAAAAAAATGGAAACAGAAAGCTTGTAATATGGTCTTCACGTCATGATGCATTTGGGAAAAAGGCCTTGAACCTGTATATTAGCAAGAATTACTGATGCATCGGTCAATCGGTGCTACATCGCACGTTCATCGCACAGCACTTCAGCAGTGAATCACAGAAACCAAACAGAGCTCTCCTACCTGCAGTTCATACAGTCCCTGCAGCAGAGCCTTCCCTGAGCGAGTCACCTCTTCCAGAAGGTTCTCTCTCCTGATAACGTTCAGTACCTCTGACAGGAACAGGTTCTTAGAGGGGTCTCCCATCCATGTGTTGAAGATTCTGTAGCCCTAAGAGGAGGTGATTCAGCAGAAAAACATCACAATACTTACAGACATGTACACGATTTACGGTGTTTTAGGGCCACTGTTAATAAAAATAAAATAGTAGAGAAAAATAGTCGTAATATTTCAAGAAAAAAAGTCGTAGAATTACGATGTTAAAGTGGCGTTAATACCAGGAAAGGTCGCAATATTGTGGCCAAAGGCTTTGCGAAGTGAAGGCAGCGCCTCCTCGTGTTAAATGAGGGGCGGTGAGTTGTTGGAGTTCTACTTTCATATCGATTCACCCATAAAGAAACACTCAGTCTCCCTGTCTCTCCTGCACATCAGCACCAGCCTGTTATTAGTATAAGAACCGGCTGAAACGGCTGAGCAGGAAACTGTGTTTATCTAGAATAAAGAGCCAGACGGACTCGGAGGAAACTGTCTGTCTGTGTTGTTGAAGGAGAATCTCAGGCAGGGTCATCTACACGGCTATCGGGGCTCCATCTCCCCCCATTCAAAGAGGGCATGAAGTTTCACTTTACTCTCGAAGTCTACCGTTTTTATTTTTATTAACAGTGGCCCTGAAAAACTGCTCCTGCAATCTACAGGGCTCTACAGCAGCGGGCACTATTAATATGGAACTATACAGTATATAAGTTGCCTTTTCTATAACTATATAGTATATAAGTTGCTTTGTCTGTAACTATACAGTATATAAGTTGCTTTTTCTATAACTATACAGTATATACGTTGCCTTTTCTATAACTATACAGTATATACGTTGCCTTTTCTATAACTATATAGTATATAAGTTGCTTTGTCTGTAACTATACAGTATATACGTTGCCTTTTCTATAACTATACAGTATATAAGTTGCTTTGTCTATAACTATACAGTATATAAGTTGCTTTGTGTGAAAACTGTAGGAAAAACACTGAGCAGACGAAAAAAAAAAGTTTACCTAAAATAAACTCACTAAAATTATTACAGTATGTCGGCTACCCAACGGCCTCAACCACAGACAACAGACTCACAACTTTTTCAATTATATTTTACATTTTCCTTTGGAATTTTTCATCATTTCTCTGATTATTTTTAGATATCGCCCAGGGCTGTTACAGTTTCTGTACTTTGTTTAAAGGCTCTAACTGGTTTAAACTAATTTTATAATACATGCTGTTGTTCAGGGTTCCAGTACTGACCAAACCCATCATACACTCAGAACAGATCATCACAACAGGAACAGTTCTGCCTGCTATTAAAAAACAGATCTTTGATCACTTTGATGAAAGCATCTCCAAGATCAAAACAGTCCAGCTGCAGAAACAAAGTTTCATAATATTGGACAGAAGACTCCTTAATATGCAAACACTATTTTGCCACACTAGGGGGCACTGCTGCTCATATTTGGAGTTCCAGATGTCAGATCTGTGCTTCATCAAAGGGACACTATTATTCACAAGTGATTACAATCAAACATGATTTGACAGCAGCAGCAGATACTCAGATGCTGCGTGGAGGATAAGGCAGGACGCGTCCCCCGAGACCCGGAGGAACATTCCGGCTCTACCTTGTCAGGCTGCAGCTCGTCTTTGTAGTAGTATCCTCCCGTGAGCATTTTCTTGCTGAAGGAGACGACGTCGGCGGGGTCGTCCGTGCCCCAGTGCTCGTGGGCCCAGAACTTGCCCGTGGTTCCACCACCCGTCTGGACTTCATCCACGTGGAAGGCACATCCATGCTGAAAGGAAAACGACATGGGTGAACATCTGACATCTGTACGAAGGAGCTGAACAGTAAAAGTAACAGTATTTCTGTTCTCTTAATAAATAGTGCAAAATTGGAATAAATTTACTCAGATAAAATATTAATAAAGCTTAATATCACTAATACTAGGGGCTTTGAAGCAGCCGCACAATATGGACAAAACACTGTATTGTGACTGAACTGCTGCATAGTGCGACTGTCCATTGCTCATTGTCCATTTTATCAGCTCCACTTACTATATAGGTGCACTTTGTAGTTCTACAGTTACAGACTGTAGTCCATCTGTTTCTCTGATACTTTGTTAGCCCCCTTTTACCCTGTTCTTCAGTGGTCAGGACCCCCATGGACCCTCACAGAGCAGGTACTATTTGGGTGGTGGATCATTCTCAGCACTGCAGTAACACTGACGTGGTGGTGGTGTGTTAGTGTGGGTTGTGCTGGTAGGAGTGGATCAGACACAGCAGTGTAAAAAATATACAATATGGATAAAATATTACAGACGTTGGCTGCGTTCCAAAGCTGCAGCTGAGGTAGGCGCTACATCATAGAAGCCCATTCCAAAGTGAAGGATCCTTTGTATACAGCCTAGAAATGCAGCCTACGTTCTGAGTTCCTTCCAAGTATTCGGTTTCCCAGAGTTCTCTGCGCACAAAAGACGCGAACGGGAGAAAACAGCACCGCGAAAACAGCAGAAAACGAAGCTGTTTAAAAATGTAACACATTGTGTAACAAATTGTTCACATTTTTTAATTCGTCTTCATTACCTTATAAAGTGTAAAATGATTGATTAAAGCATTCGTCCACATATCGTATATTATTTAGAGGTATCTGTATGTATGTAGTTTATCATACTACATAAGAACGTCTCCTCCATTTCCATGAAGACATGAAAAAGCAACAAACTCAATACACGCTCTATTTTCTCTCATCAGCTCCCTCACGAGTTTTGGCTGCAATTGCAAGAGGCGGGACCTTTCTGACGACGTCACCACACAGCCTCGTCAGGACTGGTCCATTTGCGTGACCAATAGGCTACTAAGGAGGAGTCTTCATAGGTCAGTCCTACCGAGGACCCACCTACCTCAGCTGCAGCCTGGGCTTTGGAAAGCAGCTATTATTTCCCAAAACAATCACATAAAAACAAAAATCATGTGAACGAAACTCACTAAACCATCAACTCGGTACTGAAATGATCCATTTACATGATTTTCTTTTGTCACGTAATCTGCCTTGAGTTTCCATCTCCATTTTTAAATTATGATAAATTCTAGATATTCATTTTATTGTAGCTTGTGATGTTCTATAACTGAGTCATTATGTAATCTTCTCCTGCTCTGTTCATCATTCTGGACACATCTACCATTTCTCCACTTTTAATTAGCGAGTCCTACTGATTACCTGAAACCGGTGCGTTTTTTTCAGGACAAGCAAATGAAAATCATTAGAAATGAATCTGCAACCTCATTGGTTTAATTCAGTGATTCAGTCCGTTACTCAGACCACATGCTGAGGTGAAAATAACCAGCGGCTTTGGCGACAAGACCACTCGCAAAGTGGCAGCTGAAAATGGAGTCTGAAGCTGCACAGTCACTCGGTTTAAGGTCGCGAGTGAGTTCATCGCAGTTATACAAGGACACGAGTCTTTTCAGGCCACTGTGAGGCCGGCTCACTCGTTCCTTTTGGTTTCCAGCCTGTCATATTCGGAAGGACACAAATCAGAGCAGACAAGGAGGGCAGGCGCCCGCGGAGTGCCATGTGCCCGACTCTTTCTGCACTGCGCTTTTCAACAGCCACTTGACAAGAGCCCAATGTGAGCTGTTTATTGAAGCCGTTCTCCTTTGAAGAAGGTGCAAATATACAGTAAAGGAACACAAAGAAGGGCTATTCACAACAGAACGCTGTGGGCCAGATGTAGATCACCTACTGCACCAGCTTTAGCCGCGAAACTTGCGCACGAGCCTAAAGACGCAGTATTTTGCATGTTCCACTCAATTTAACAACTCAATTTTGCATAGATTTTTCACCAACTTTCATTGAGAGACTTTAACAATAGCAGCAGACACAGTGGTTAGCGACCCCTGGTCTAATGTGAAGAAGAGCCATTTTGTCCCAATTCAACAAAAATCAAACCAACTTGGGAGCCACAACATTTCATGTCCATTTTATTGGAGTAACGCTTTACTATCTTGGCTGTAAATATGTCTCAGTATGTGTTAATGTACTATTATAGGCTAAAAATATAATACAAACAAAAACGCAGTCTGACTTTGCTCTGCTTTAAGCTTTAGCTCAGCTATAGCAGCAGAAGTGGAACAGCTTCTTGTAAAATGTCTCTCAACTTTCGACTTTTTATGAGACTGAAGTCGCTTCTTGTTTGTTTCAGGTTCCACCTTAAATGGTGATTGTAACTGCTGCACCATTTAAGGTGGAACGGGAAAATTCGAACAAGAAGCTGGTGAACGACAAACTGACTTGAGGTTTGAGACTTTTTAGTATTTGACAGTTTCTCTTTGTAGATTAACTGTATCAGGAAACTCCAGCAGCACTGCTGTGTCTGATCCACTCAGACCAGCACAACACACACTAACACACCACCACCACGTCAGTGTTACTGCAGTGCTGAGAATGATCCACCACCCAAATAGTACCTGCTCTGTGAGGGTCCATGGGGGTCCTGACCACTGAAGAACAGGGTAAAAGGGGGCTAACAAAGTATCAGAGAAACAGATGGACTACAGTCTGTAACTGTAGAACTACAAAGTGCACCTATATAGTAAGTGGAGCTGATAAAATGAACAATGGTCAGAATGTTATGCCTGATCGGTGTTCATCATCCAGAAGATGAATAGTGTTTAAATTTTTCATTTCTTCAAGTGTGTATTTGGTTTCAGTGTCACTCCAAAAGTGTTGTGTTAAACGCTGCTTGCTGTATCGGGGACAGCGCTCTGTTCACACACACATACACAGACTGAGAAACGAAAGAAATCAGAGTGAGAGTTTACAGCACTGAAACAACCCATTACTGAGCTCATCCAGCCTCTTTATCAGATTTCTAGAAATCTTTAAGCCTTAAGCCGAAGAAATCAGAGTATCTGTTTACATGACCACATGAATAATCAATAACTGCCGATATCCAATTATGATTGGATTGTTAGTGCATGTAGACACACTCACCGAAGGATAAAGCATAAATGAAGGACGAGAGCGCTACCTTGCGGGCGATGTTGCGCAGTTTGATGAAGAAGTCGGGTGAGGCGTGGTTGTCTCCTCCCTCGGCCTGGATGGGCTCAACGACGATGCCGGCCACAGGCTTTCCCTTCTGCCTCCACTTCACAATCAGATCCTCCACCTGAAGCACAGAGCACTGAGAATTAAACTTCACTCAAGCATGCAAAGGTGGTGAGCCAAACAAAGTCACCTGAAGCGGAATTTCTCAGATTTTTAGAAATTTCTACATAATTAAGTGGATAAGATTTATTTTCTTGTATAAATTCATGGCAGAAAGGTGCATGCAGGGAGATTTACCGCTATTTTACCATCATCATTACATCTATAACCTCAAAATGCACATTTAGGTCACTTTGGAATATAAACATTACACACTTGTGTTATTATTATATTGCAATAAATATTCATTTGCCATATTTGTGTTGTAGTCATGGTGACCCCTGGTTCCTATCACCACCACTATGAAGAAATCTGAGTCTCTGCCATCAACCATTTCACACCAAACCTCTCTGAATCACTGAATGTTTACATCTCAACAGAAAAAAAAAAAAATCAGTGGAATTCCTCTTTAAATGAGATCACAAGCTACTTTACTGACTGCTGGCATTTAAATGTTGTGTTTAATCTCAGTATCAGCTGTTTTCATCACAGGTGTGTTTCCTAGAAATGGCTTAAACCTAGTCTAGAACTGAACTGCAGTGACAGCTCTGACCTCCTCCAAGCACCGCGCCTCCTCCTGAGCATTCTCTCGGACAAACTCCTCCAGGGGATACTGCAGCCTAGGGAAGGGGGCGATGGGCCAGTCGAACGAGGGGATGTCCAGTTTATGGATGGCTTTTGAGTGTGTCGTCGCCAAGCAACCTGACAACAAATCAACAAACAGAGTTCAATCAGACCAAGAGCTGAGGACAAACGATTAATCTGAGGTTTTATTCAAATGTAGTAGTATATATTGATATAGATACATAGAAGGATAGACAGATGTTGGTGTTTTTTTTTTTTTTTTTGCAGAATTTAAAAACTCTGGTTACCCTTTGCATTGCATTAAAATTTCACGATGAACAGACCAACAGAAAAGGCCCAAAATTCCTTGGAAAAAATCGTATTACATTGACGTCCGCTTTAAGTTAAAAAGGTTTTTTCCTCTCCTTCTGTAAAGTTACCATCTCGGAGATAGAAGGTTATATAAATAATATGTATATAATCTCATAAAGCTGACCAAAACAGCAGTTCACATGCTTTGACTACTTGTTGATATTTCCAAATGAGCATGCAAACACTCACTAAAACAAGTGTTTTAGTCGTTGGTCTGAGCGTTTCTTTCCTATGCATTTCAGTCCACACCGGCTGTCAAATCACACCCCCAACTTTCTATGGTCTTCTATCGTCTATTTAAATAATAACGTACCAAAGTGCGGAGCAGCTCCTGCACTGTACTAACAACGTATGGATGAGACGCTTCTCTGATACAGCAGTAAAAACGTAACTTTGTCAAAATAAACTGATCTGCTGTCTGTGCTGTCAAGTTCTAAATGTTCCCAATCCGACATGGCTGCATGATGGAGTCGTGGATTGGGACATGATAAGGTCACTAGGCTATACTGACATATTTAAGATGACTCATCAAACGTGTCGCGTCTCTGTGGTGCCATACCTCTTATCATAAATTCTGCAGTGTGTTTTCGTGTTTCCAGGTCATTTAAGAAGCTCCCACTCATAATGTCTGAGGCATCTCTGCTCTTTTAGCTTCAGTGGCAGCGTGGAAAGTGGTGACGCAGCAGGAATGTACAATGTATTCAACCAAACCAGCTACAATTTATTTATTTTGATAAGTATAGTAACAATAACTGTTCTATCTGAAGACAGTTACTGATTCATTTTAGGCAAAGATTTTCACTAACATGCTGAAAAGCTATGTATGTACTGTCCTATTAGCCCAATTAGTTTGGGCTCAGAATTTACATCATATCACTCAACCTGTTAAAGTTCAAGCAAAACTCTGTAAACAGTATATAACTTTACCGCCAAGAGAACAATTAATCCACTATGTGAGCACAAGTGAGGTCAGCTGATAAGAAATTCAGTGATATACAGGTCCAATATCCAAACACTTACCCATAGTTCTGCCGTGGAAGCTCCCCATAAAGGACAGGATGCTCAGATCTGGACAGCCGGGACCCTTTAAAAGCACAGTGAGGACAGAGTGCATATTAGTGCAACCAGAGTGACAGTGATGGTTCCCCACTCAGTGGTTCCTTTGGGCTGGTACTTGTAAAGGGAGGAGTCAGAATCATCCATGTTCATCTCTGTTGGACATTAAGCTTCTGTGTGCACTCTGAGCTAACCAGCAATTCAAGAACAGCGTGAAGTTAAAGGAGCCTCCTCAGGGTTATTATTATGTTATTATACAAGGGCAACACATTATCAGATCCACCATCTAGAACAGAGGACAACAGAACATCGCCTTGTGCACCATGATACATGCTTTAGCTTTAGCTTGTTATGGTCTGTAGATTCTCAATATAAACACTACCTCTGTACAGTCTATAGATTTCTAGTACGATGAAAACTAAGCGAAAATACATTTACTGAGAGATTAAATAGAAAAAATGCCAACGGTCAACATTAATGACGTTCTCCACACTATTGAACTATCAATCTTGCCAGATCAACAATTTTTGCTATTTTATATTCAGCTACAAAGGACACGTTACAAACTATTCACTGCAGTTATTTTTACACATTTTATCCAGATATTAAAGAACTGTGTGAACAGGAACTTACTACATGATGAATAATGTACTATAATTATCTATTTACATACATTTGTTATGATTTGATCTCCACTTTTAAATGATGAATTCTGGATATTAATTTTGTGATAACTGTAGAACTGCAAGTTACAATATCATTTATCTGCAAACTAAATAATAGTTTGTAGTTACAGGTTTATAGTACTAAAACACAGTGTATTTACACGCACTTAATAATCCAATCATAATCAGATTTTTGCACTGATTATTCAAACGGTCATGTAAACAGCACACACTGATTTCTTAGATTGGAGTAAGGTTTAGAAATATGATGAAGAAATCTGATAAAGAGGCTGGATTTTAGCTCAGTAATCAGATTTCTCAGTGCGTGTGAACTCTTACTCTGATTTCTTTCCGATTTCTCAGTCTGAGCATGTGCGAAAACAGACGGCGATACCGGAAATAAGCGAGCAGCGCTGCCGCGAGACGCAGCAAAACACTTTTGGTGTGACGCTGAAACCAAATACATTCTTGACAAAATGAAGGATTTAAATATTCTATATCTTCTAGATGATGTATGTTCATATTTTCAGGTAAAGTGGCGCAATAGTAAAAAAAAAAAGCTGCGGTATGAAGTTTGAGTCTTACGTTATGTTTACGTCACGTCTTCTTCTGTGAGTTTACTGGCTGGTTTCAAAGCAGAAATCTGATTACTGTCTGACTCATGTCGACCCGGAGTTTGCCCATTATCTGATAACTCAAGTGCATGTAAACGTGTTGATCGGTTTACTGACAAAATCTGATTTTCTGCAGTTATTGGATTATTAAGTGCACGTAAACACGCTCAATGGTTCCAATCATTCGAACAGCAGTGTATATATAAAACTGAGGTAATAAAGAAAACTGATGAGCAGACAGATTTGCAGAATATTGTTTTCATATTGTTAGTTTTTACCTGGTTAATCATGCAGGAGCTCATTTCCTCAGCTGAGGGGCTGCTGGCGCCTCTTTCTTTGATCTAGACATGAAATCACACACAAAAACATTAATTAAATATAATCACAGCAGCAAATCTTATATCTGCAAATTATCATATATTGTACACAGACAGACATTTGTACAGACTATATTTAGATTTTATCAGTGGGTGAACAAAAGAAACTGGGCAAACATTTCATAAGGTTCGTGTGAAGCAGTGAGTGATACCACAAATCCTGTTATAACCCATCTGGCTGTGTGTGGGAGCAGCGCTCGGCGTAAATGGAGTGCACTCACTTTGTACCAGATGAACATAGCCTTGAAGGCGTTCTCGTTGGAGCAGGAGCCGCAGGCCATGGTCTGCACTCGTGTCATTCCAGTGGGAGCGATCTAACAGAGAATTAGACAACTTGCTTTAATAACGATAACATGACAGCAAACCCTGAGCCACTTCGGGAGTGATTAATTAAGCCCTGTTTATACTTGGCATTAACATCCCTTCACTGCGATTACATCATCATCATCTAACGGACATAAAAACTCATGAACAGTGAAGAAGTAGCAGCGTCCTGTGGAATCATGCCCAGAAGAAAAGTATTGATTTTAGTATGAAAATTCTGGTGCACTGAGACTACAAAACAGGGGTAACCACTGTGGAACTATGTAGATCAAAGACAAGCTGTTTTCTGGGTTTTTTGACTTTTTTGTTGAAAATCTGTTGCTTACCACGAGAACAGACGTGCAACTTCCTTACAGTTGAAGCTCAAAATGTACTTATATTGTTTGGCTTTCAGAAGTAGCTGATGTTTTATGACATGGATGTTCTGTGTTTCCCTTTCCTCCTTGGTTTTAATCATGTGTGTTGTTCATTTTTCTACCTGTTTTAATGTTAACTGGTTTTTTTTGGGGGATTTTTTTTACCCAATTTTCTCCCCAAATTTAGTCGTCTCCAATTCCACCCGCTAGTTCGGACTCCCCCAATCACACGATGCTATCAACGCTAGGAGGGTGAAGGCTAACACAGGCTTCCTCCGAGACCCGTGAAGCCAACCACCGCTTCTTTTCGAACTGCCGCTTACGCAACGTCATTGGACAGCCGAACGCGCTCGGAGGAAAGCGCCGACCGCCAGATCTGTTACGTCAGCTAACAGACGCCTGAGCTGACTAGCATCGCATTGAGTGATGGGGGGAGAAGGAGGGGCCATCCTACCCTCCCAGAGAGAGTGAGGCCAATTGTGCTCTCTCGGACTCCCGGCTACGGACGGCTGCAGCATCACCAGGGATCGAACTCGCGATCTCCTGATGATAGGGCCAGCGCTTAGACGGTTGCGCCACTCGGGAGCCATGTTAACTGGTTTTAATGTTGTCTATACCCAAGGAACAGGTTAGAAAAATGCCCCCCTTTAATCTTTTATAAGTTCTCCCATGGCAAGTACTTTGTGCAGCATCACTTGTGTGGTATAGAAATAAATATTACTTAATTGCTATTGTTCGCCATACTAACATAAAAAAACTTCTAAAAACTGTCAAAAGTTGATGCACGATTCTCAGAGGGTCGACTTCTCACATGTAGAACTGCAAATGTTAAGATTTGATGCTGAAAAAAAGTTGACACTTTATGAATGTTTACTGCACTATAGTTGCATCACCGCATTTAGCCTAATAACCTGATTTATAATTCAGCGTTTAGCAGGTGCGTTTAGCTAAATTGGCCGATGAGAGGTCTGTATATAATTATACTCTGCTAACGTTACGACGAAACACAAGTGCCTTAAAAAAAAACCATTGAATGACCTCAACGAGTGTGGCTAGGCCAGCTGAAGTCAGAAAAGATATTTCTCTGTTCTTGAAATTGACCTCAACAGCCAACATCTTCAAAAATCACCCACTGAGCAGAAAAACGTTGCCCATTATTTGTGTTCTACTGTTTCTATTATGGTGCACAGTGCTTGGACCCCTGTAATTGCCACTCGCCATGTAAACTGAAGCTCTCATAGTGGCTACAACAGTTCAACATGTCAACATTCAGCATCAACATGTTCCATATCGACTTCAGACGAAAACTAAACAGAAGTTGACTGTCTTGGCTGCGACTAACGGTAACTTAAACACGTTAACCTTTTTTAAGCTTACCGTGCAAAAAGCTAAAAAAAGATATATTAATATGTGAAAAAATTAACATAATCGTTCATGCAGCTCTGATTTTAAATACTAATTAAATACTATATCTGCTGGTTGGCCGAATAATGACCGTGAGCTGCTGCTGTGCTGCGTTTGGGAAGGAGGAGGTTTTCTCCCTCAGAATCTTCTGCTGGTAAACATCTCTTTAACTTTCACATCTACGTTTAAATACGCATACAAGCAGTTGCAACTAGTTCTAAAGGACCTGTATACTGCATTTTTCCCTGTGTGGCATTTAAAACAATGTGTGCTTTTGTGCTTGAAAACAGCTGTAGTTAATTTCTACCAGGCAGTTTTCCAACCTCTCTTTATCCCTCAGATTTAAAGAGGCTGTTTTTGTTACTGTGCCTTTAAGACTGATATATGTAAATGAGCTCTGTTCTGATTGGCTTTGTCTCAAAAAGAACTCAGAGCTGAAACACCCTAACTTCAGGATGAATGGGCAGGGCTAAACTGAACAGCTGTAAATGAGAAAATATGTAAATGGGCTGTTTTTTGTGACATCACAAAAACAACGAATTCATAACAGGCTGTTTTAGCTGCTTAGGTTCCATATATGGACTGAACAATGTTTACATACTACATCAAACTCCATGATACTGGCCCTTTAAGCAGTCAAACAGCACAGATGTTTGTCCAGTGAAGGGTTGTGCTGGCATTGTTGCAAGAATTCATCCAAATAGAATCATTGTGCAATTTTCAGCCCCAAACTCTCTCATGTGCGACCTGGAAAGCACAGCCGTGTCCTCGGCCGTTCCACACAGAGCTCCGCTCTAAAGAACCGTTCTTTCTGCACTCACCGACAGCAGACTCTCATTCAGCTTTTCTGGAAAGTTTTCCGGTGGCAGAATCCCAAGGGCTGGCCGATTGACAAATGCACTCTGGGAAAACAGAGAGGTAAAAGACACTCCTTTATCCGAGAGCCAAAAGACTACAGGAGGAAAGTGAGCTCCATTTAAATCTCATCTCAGAATCCGAGCATAACTCTGCCAGCAGGGACTCATAGAAGCAGCTGTAAAAGGAAAACTGTGAAATAAAAATGGAGCCACAGTCATTGTAAAGGCAGAAGGCAGCTCAGTCTCGATCACAGATCAGGCAGAGTAAAGCCTCTACAAACTGAAGTCTGTCAAACGATGAGCTCTGCTTGACTGAGTGCAAATCACTCTCGCTATAAATAAACACTGTTTCTGCATCACGTCTTACCAGATTGTTGGGATTGGTGATGGCCTTCATCAGAGCTGGATGGTTGTAACCTGGAAAAAACAAGAGCGTATAAATCAGAATGGCTGGACAGCAGAACTGGGTAATACGGCAATATTTATTGCGATTGTGACAAATTATGTCACAATATGCTATTGTGGACATCCTCAGGATTCATGAAACACTTTCCAAATGTATGTTTGATCTCAAACAGAGCATAATCAGTCCTGTTTAATGGGATTCAGTGCAGTGCGGTATGTAAAATGTGAAACATAAATAATTGCATTCATAGCTTTTATCAGTATTTTTTAAATGAGGTTTTGTGATATTACATTTTTACCATATGAACCACCTCTACTGGACAGTTCGCCATGTTTTAACTGTGATTAAAGCCACAACTATTAAATATTTTCTTTTTCGAATATTCTATCAAATTTTATCTCAAATATTCTATAGGAATAAGAGAAGCTTGTCACCCCAAAATGTTTCTTTCTTCTTATTATTACCATTTTTATTATTAAACCTGCAATATTATTGTAATTCAGTTAATTCACTCCGTCCTCTAACTCACTTGCAATTCAGGACTTACTACTCATCAAAAAAACATGAGCAAAACTGATTAAATAATAATAATACAGCAAATGAATAAACCTTTCACTTCATTATGTGTGATTGTGCATGTCGGTTGTGTTCTAGTCATGCTCAGTTACTGCATTTACTGCAATGCTAGTATCACGAGAATTGACACGGTCAAAGGTTGATGCGAGATTCTCGCAGGGTCGACTTCTCTGTCAGCGTTAAAACTTGATGATGAAAAAATTGACACTGTATGAATGTTTATTCCACTTCACTACAGTTGCATCTGCATGTTCAGCCTAACAACCTCATATTTAATTCAGGGGCATTTAGATGAAATGGCCAAAGAGAGGTCTGTATATTATTATCCTCTGCTAATGTTACTACAAAACGGCAAAAACAGCAATCCAGTTAGATTGCTAACTGGCTATTGCTAAAGTCTGTGCATTAACTCTATGACAGGCAATCAGTGAGCATAATGTGATTTTTCTATATAACCATAAACCCATTTGGCTTATTGGGCTGCTACTGTGGTCGCACGTTTATGGACTTATATAAAATTCTGTTATTATTCAGATTCAAAGTCAAAGTCCCATTAACCCGACTAAGAATGATTCTTATTCTGATGTGTAAATGTAAGCCTGTATTTGCAGGATATATTTTTCTCTTTTTGCATTTTTACATTTACATTGTAGAGCAAATGAATTCTATATTTAGAGGGAAATTAGTTTTCTTTATATACGGTAAAATGCTGTACTGTACAAACAAACCCCCATCCTGAATATCTCCTTCACCAATCAGTTCGGCGGCTGTGCATCATTTGCATGCAGTAGACGGCGGCGCTGATAGAGCTGATTCAGTGCCTTCACATTTCTGTAAACATGACGACGGAGCCGAGTTCCAACACCGGCTCTGTTATTCAGCACCCAAAAAGGGCTCATCGGGGTCAATTCCATATCAATTCAACCTCTTTCCGACAGTTATCATCTCTATTAACACAACATCTTGCATTCGAATTAGATTCCTGAACAAACAAGGCGAGCCGAATTACAGGAGAATGAATCGCAAACTAATTATTGGACAGCTTTATAATAGAACGAGGGATGATCTGAATACAGCTTTGCAGAGCAATTTTCTCTGATGAGTTTTTCCACGTCAATAGAACGACTGGCGTTTAGCGGATAAAAAAAAAGAGTGAAGAGGATACATGAGGAAAGTTCAGTGAGGTTAACATGAACATGCCATGAACCCACTAATCTACTCTGAGCTGGTGCAGACTGGATTTTTTCCCCTGATTTGGATTACATAAATGTCTACACCGCAGTCCCTCTCACCACCAGCAGAGAGCACTTTCTGTGACAACTCTGCATTTCACACACGGATTCATAAAAGGAAAAATGAGCCCTCCGCCAGGCTGAACGAATGACTCGGATGTACTAAAGTGCACCAGTTCAGTTTACTCAACTGATAAGCAGATCGTGGTGTTCTGAATGTGCTCCACTGCAGGTCAGCTCATATGGTGCTAACCACAAGTCTTCCTGCTTATGGTCATCTGAAACGTTCTCATGCGCAATCAGTATCAGGTCAAGTTGTAAGGAAGAGTGCCGCAATGTGACCTTATACCATATCGTAGTTTTCTGCACCTTAGCAGAGCTATAGTCATGTTCTTCTAGCATCCCACTCACCTGCCTTATTACCCCACTTATCTGACTTATCTCACTTATCCCTTTTTGCCACTATACATCCTTTAACTGCTGCACTCAGCACTTTTAATATAAGATACAAGATAGATACCTTGCACAATGCAACTTTTACAGGTATGACTGTGTGTGTGTGTGAGAGAGATGGCCCGAGTGTACGGTAGGAATGCACGTTTTATTTTATTTTTACTTTATTTACTGCTGTAAAATGTTTGTCAGATACTGTGCACTGTGAGCTCCTGTAACCAAAACCAAATTCCTTTCACACACACACACACACACACACACACACACACACATAACCTAAGAATAGCTCAGCCAGTTTGCATTAAAGTCTCTGTAGTTACTGAATAATAACCCTTAGTATGTAATAAGCCTGAGATTTTAAGGGATTCATTTAGTGTTACTTCTTATCTTAACCTGTTTATAACATATGAGGGTTATATATACACCTGCTGAACCTCTGAACTGGTGCAGCTCTCAATCTGCTCCAACAAAGGACACATACATTCATAAATTGTCAGCCTTTGCAGTACTGATATCATAAAAGGATGAAGTATGCAAATGAGCCTCTATTGAATTACTGTGTGCTTAGAGCATCCTGACCAATCACAGAGATACATATTACATATACACGTGACATACATGCACTTTTTGTGTCCAATATTTAGGTTTTAATGTCAAAAAGTCTAAAAACGTCAGGTGGTGTGACCGTCCAACTATCTAGGAAAATTAAATAAACTGTATGAACATATAAAATTCTAAGTAAATTTGTCTGGCATGATTTTATGTTTGAAACCTTTAAAACCAAAAACGTTGCAAAATAAAACAACATGCAAAATAAGAAAAGTTAAGAAATATTTAACTGCAAAATTATTTTCCACAAATGCTCATTTCATCAAATGTCATAGTGCAATACTCAGCGTCAGCAGCCCTTTCACAAATACTGAAAAAATGGTCATTTTTGAGTCGTGGATAGGCAGATTCTGTTAACCAAGTCAGATGTGTGACGCCTGAAAAAAACATACAAATAAATTACAATTATAAATATATAAATATATAAATAGTTTTTGTTTATTTGAAAAAATATACTTATGGTATATTTGAGGTTTATATCAGGTCTCAAAGTACAAAAACTAGCTTATACTAAATTTCAGTAGTGCTACATGACTATAAAATGTTTTATTAATGTGTGGTTGTTCCACTTGACAATATACTAGATGTTGGAACATTGCTGTGAGGATTTGATTGAGTATTAGTGAGGTCAGGTGCTGATGTTGGATGGTCAGTTCAGGATCACTCCAACTCATCCCAAAGGTGTTGGATGGAGCTCCATCACTCCAGAGAATGCAGTTCCACTGCTCCACAGCCCAATGCTGGGGGGCTTTATACCTCTCTAGCCCACGCTCGGCACTGGGCATGATGTGTACCTGCCCCACAGCCTCCCAATCTATTGGTCAATGATTTCTAAGAGATTATACAAGGTATCAGCAATGGGTGCAGCTAAAAGTAGCTGGACTTCCTCATTATAATTATCATTTTGGACATTCTGTGCATGTTTCAGTTGCAATATGTGTCATTACATAATGACAATATGGTATTTTGTCCATACTGAGTAGCCTTCAGCTCAGTCATTAAAGTACTGCCTCAAGGAGACAGAGCAGCTGCAACTACAAGCAAATTTTTCAGATGCCAAATTATTTCGCAACGTTAGAGGGAGTAGGCCAATCTAGCAGCGTCACACTGACATGTTTTTCAGACAGATAAACCCTACGAGCAGAAGTAGCCCTGTGAAAAGTGGCTGCTGTGAGGAGGGAAATTAGAGGACAGCGATAATTCTCACTTCAGCCGATGTCACATCATCACAATAAATCATTTTCTCCACTCAGCAGTTTACGTTTGTTTTTGACAAAAGTAATCCAGAGAAATGTAGATACTTCTGACAAGATTAGATACAAGACTTGCATAAAGAAGGAGAAAATCATAAGAAAATAAGTGAAAAAAACTGCTTCAAAAAATGTGGCTCCTAACAACCACCTGGAAGACCTGGTAGACACCAAAACTGCCCCCATCAGATAAACAGCACTTAAAGCTTTCATCTCTGAGAGAGAGGAGAAAATCAAGCTGCTTCAGATCTGAAAACATCCACAGGTGTTTCTGTCCATCCTTCCACTGTGAGAAGACGACTCAGCGCCGTGGGTCTGAAAGGATGTGTAGCTGTCAAGAAGAACCTCACTGAGAAAAGGAGACGGACACATCAAACAAAGAAGCTGAACGATGGACTGACCACCCCAGAGTCCAGACCTCAACACCACTGAATGTGTTTGATTACTTCAGAAAATGATCAACCAGCTTCTAAGACTGAACTTTGGAGGTGTGTCTGCAGATTCTTTGAGGAGCTGAAAGTGAGTCTCCTGAAAAGAACGGAAGCTGGAATAAAGGGAGAGAGTCACACACTGACTGAACACAGCTGAGAGTAGATTTAGTTGTTAAGGCTTCTGTGTAATTTTATGTTAAGTATGTTTTCTGCTTTTTTCCTGACACTAAAAAAGGAATAACTTGTCTCATGGCCATTTTGACTGAAAATGAAATAAATTAAGGGTGATACTGTTTTGCACAGTAACATTCATAAACAATGAACACCTGAACAGCGATTTCACTACTGCACTGCTGGCACCTGTAACAGGTAACTGAGTATTAGATTAGCGAAACTGCATACTGCTTTTAAATGGCCATAGCTTAAGGCCTGAGTGATACCTAAAAATACACTCATATGC